TATTGACCCCTGAGGGACTCCACTAGACACAAGTGTTCTTTTCAAGTGTCCTGTGTAGAGCTGTCATACACACTAACAGGAGTTTTCTTTCAAGGGTAAAGTCTGCTGGCGTGTTCAGCTATATTTGGATATGCTCCAGTATACTCTTCCCCTCTCCCAAGCAGGCTGGATGATTGAATAGCCTAACGGTATTTAAAAAGTTCATCTAAAGAGATTTTACTCCTTTTTCTTAATTTGGAGGATGTGTGAGCACCTCAAGTTTTGGCTAATATTGCCAAAAGCTGCAAACGTTCAATACCTTATTGCATCAATCTCCCAAATTAGTATTATTTCATGTTTCTGAAGATGCATTTTCGTAGGTCCTACTAGTTTTATCAGGTAAGTACTGTATTTGTATATAAACAACATCTTAGGAGTTTTAGCTCTCTCCCTTCCCAGCAGTCTTCCTGCAATTAAGCTTCTTCAATAAGTATGTTTTTCCTCTTCTCAGTTCTTGGCACGAATAATGCGGAGAAGAAGTCTTCTGGTGACGCTGACATGGTCAAACATCTGTTAGCTGAGGTATGCTTATCTCTGTAATGCCATGGTAATGTCTTTGAGGACTTTTATTTGAGGAACGGTTTTATTCAGCTACTGGCAGTTTTGATGCCGTTATTTTCAGGAGCTGAAGATGAGCACATTCGCAGTGAGAAGCTGACCATTTGGTTGCACCGCCTTGGAAACAAAGTTTAAAAATACTGTGGGTGCTCAGGGAGCCAGTGAGGTGCAGGAAAGTTTTCTTCTGCTGTCCTGTTGCTCCTTTGCTTCTACGCTCTCATCACTATTCAAGTTAAGCAGTATGTTCTGGAGAAAGTGTCAATTGGAAGACCACAGACTTAAGTACATGTGGCTTCTGTGTATGACTGAGCAGAGCCCCTATAACCTCCCCAGTACTCGGTAAAAAAAAACCGCAAATTGTCCCCACTTTTAGTGCTTTCCTCCCCGCTCCTCCCTCCCCAGGCATTTGTAATGACTGGAATAGAATGCACTGTATTGAGAAACAGAGTTACAGATGTTTTCTGGATCCAAATGATGGAGCATTAGTAATTGTTCTAACGGTGTTGATCCATTAAACGGTGGTGATACATTAAACAGTAGCTGGGAAGATCTATAACTGCTCTGAATTTAATTGTTATCTGATCGACAGTAGACATTTCTTCTCATTTGGTGAGCAGAAAGATCGGGACCTGGAATTGGCAGCTCGAATTGGACAAGCCCTCCTTAAGCGAAACCATCTGTTGACGGAACAGAATGAAGCACTAGAAGAACAGTTAGGACAGACTCTAGATCGAGTGAGTTATCTTTGGTTTTACTTTCTTTTTTTCTTGTTATTTCCCCTTTTAGTTTTTTTTTTCCCCCCTCCTTTTGATGTTGTTCTTCTTGCTATCATCATAAAAAAAAAAGAGGATTAATAAAAATATATTATTTCGTTGTGAAAGCAGATGTTTGCTGCTCTTACCTTACAGAAGTATACTTAGATGTCATTGTCCTAATTCATCAATCCTAATTCAGTCAGTTTTCTTGATCCAAGAATCAGCTGTGAAGACTGCATGTTGCAATTACGGAGAAGTTATGAGAATGCTAGGTATTTATTATGATATATCTACAACAGGATTGCATTTTCAAAGTGTATTTTGACCATCAGGCTGATGTCCTCCCCTTAAACTAAGAATCTAATAATCTAAGTCAAAATAAGTAGTTGGTATCTGGCATGACCTACTACATAACAGCTTCACAGGTGAGTGAACAGCCAGAAGATGAGCTGGCTTAGTGGGATGCTTGTATTAAGAATAAAATTTTATTCTTAATACAAGCAAATATATAAAACTTAATAAAAACTGACTTCTGCTGAAGGTCTTCACTCCTTCTCTTCCTTTAACTACAGATTCTTGATCTAATCGTTTCTTTGGTTTGGTTTTTTTCTTAAAAAAGGATAAATAGCTGACAAATGATAAACATCTCCAGTTTTTTAACCCTGATATCAAGAGAGTGAAATGAGTTCAGCTGCTTGTGTAAAACAGTAGGTTAGTAATAAAAACATACTCAAACTTATGCATTCACATAAAACTTTAGATGGAAAAGTAGGATTTATCTAGATGAGATCTCTCTTGTCTTTTTATTCATCCTACAGTTCATTTAATATATGCACTGGGGAGGGAGTGTGGTACCGAAACAGATGTCTATCAGTCCTTTTCTCCAGGAAGCTGCAGTTCAGAAAAATGGTTCTAATCAAAAAATGAGCTAGCATGTTAAAATGTAATCATCTCTCAAAGCAGCTGGAAAATTATTTTCAAGTATATTATTTAAAAAGTAAATTTGATTGTCCATTCTTGTGTTATCTTGAATTTCAGTCTCACACTGTTAAAATGATGATTTTGTGAACTTTCTCTAAAATAAATGGAGGTTGAATCTTCTGTGCAAATAAAAGTACGTGAATCATGACCTGTGAGCTATTTTTTAATCTTAGACTGCAGCAATGATGTTCCAAGAGACTGCATAACTAATGCACTGTAACATTATATAACTACAGTATGTTTTACGAGCTGCTGACCTTCTTTTGTTGTAGGTTAACCAGCTGCAGCACGAGCTGTCAAAGAAGGATGACCTGCTTCGCGTGGTTTCCATCGCTTCCGAGGAGAGCGAAACAGATTCCAGCTGTTCCACGCCACTTCGGTTCAACGAGTCTTTCAATGTATCACACGATCTGTTGCAGCTGGATGTCTTGCAGGAGAAACTCAGAGAGCTGGAAGAGGAGAACCTTGCTCTCCGATCGAAGGTATATTGAACAGGGTATCCCTGGGTATGGAATAAATCAGGATGGTTAAAAAATCCAGCGTCTGGATTTCTCTTGAAGCATGTGACTGTTCTGTGTTGCTGTATACAAATCATACCCAAACACTTTCCCTCCACCCCCTACATCGTTCTGGTTCTTTCACTACTCATTATCTCCAGAGTCCTCTAGTAATCCTTCCTCAGAGCCTTTATAGTTGGAGAAAGAATATGGGAACTGATGGAAGCACCCAGCAAAAAGTACTTGGACCCCTCAGGCTCACAAGCTTGTGCGACCTGCATTGATAAGAATCTGACTGGGATATGTGGTATTTGGGGAATTCCATTGTGTTACCATTACGTTTTTGTCTGCCTGTATTAGACTTTAATGGTTAATAACCTTCTACAGAAATTATTTCAAAGACGCAGTCTTGACAATGTAATTAGTCTCTGTATTTTAATTGGTCTCTTTTGTGTATAAAACATGAATACAAGCACCGTGCTGTTGCAAGGCTAGAGGCTAAGTGGCCAGACAAAATAATGGCTATAAAAGTCATGGAACCAACAGCAAAGATTATAAGAATCAAAATCTGCAGATGCAGTGCCTCTCCCTCAAAGGCAGAGAGCGGAGCTTGTAAAATAGGAGATTTGGGTAGAAGTGGATTCTTCCGTTGTTTTCCCGGAAAGGGGAGTGGTGTTTGTAAGAAAGGTGGGTGGCTTTTACTTAGTGTGTGGTATCTTTTTTTTTTTTCCTTTTTTTAAGTGAGCCTTTCACCGTGTGAGCTTGTTACAGCCATACAGCAGAGACTAAATTCCTTTAATGTAAGCAAAATATACTCTTCCCTTGTTTTATCTCCAAAATATTCAGCCTGTGATGCGCATTCTTCCTAAAACTCATTAACACCAGATGGATAGTTTAGTAATGCTGCAGGAATAAAACAAGAGAAGATCAGACTGCTTTTATATGCTTCTAACCCTGTACATGCGTAACTGTACTTGTGTTTGCTTGGATAATCTTTAAACCCATTTACTAAGTTTTTATAGTGAGACATTTAGCAGCAAACCGTCCTTTTATCTGTGCAAAGTTCAACATTGTCATCCTCACAATCAAACCAGAAGTTGTTTAGACCTGTTGTGATGCTTGGTCTCTTCACACAGAAAACTTACAGTCTAAGTAATTAGCTGGGCAATGTGGAGGAAACCTGTTCTACTAGAGCTTTTCAGTGCCTTAGAAGATTTGGCTAACATCATTCAGTTTTCAAGATTTCTTTGCCTTAAGAAGTCTTGAAGCAAATTCAATTGCTTACTTTTGATTACTGTTGGTTTACTCCCTATGAGACACCAGGTTTTGTTCATGTGTCTTTGTCTTTCACTCGGAAGACCTTTACAATTCAGGGAAGCAGGTTATGGTGGAAAAAATGGTTAAGAAGTATGGCCAGATGCATATAAAGATAGATGAGGGGAGACTCTTCAGTTTAAGAATTTCAGAAATAAAAATTTATGACAGTAACATGTGTATAGATAAACTGAAATTAGAATACCAGTAATTTTCTTCAAGGCTTGCCATCTGAAGACAGAAACCATTACCTACGAAGAGAAGGAACAGCAGCTGGTTAATGACTGTGTCAGAGAGCTCCGTGAGTATCCAGGCTGTATCTTGCAGTGGCAAAACGTTATTTGAAATGCCCCCTGCCTAGACCTTTGTAGTTATTCCTGAATCAAAAAATGAACTTCAGTAATTTATGCTAATTATTCAAGTGTTGCTCTTTACCCAAGTGGAAATTGGATTCTGTGTTTCATCAGGCTTCGCTCTGACATAAGGCTTTGGGTGTGTGTGTTGTGTCTAGAGGCAGAAAATGAACGCAAAATCTCATGTCCATAAACCTCCTGAACTGAAGCCTACACACACTGGAATATCAACAAAATGTATTTCTTGTGTGGAGTGTTCAGCACACTTCACACTGAAGTGTGTCAGTGCATAGACCCTTAAATGCTCATTCTAAATTATTATATATCTATGAACACGTTATCTAATTTTTAAAATATATATAACGAACCAGAGATTTTAAATTGGAAAGTGTTTTAATTTGTCTAGAACAGTTGTTCATGTCTGCTCTGGGAAATACTTGTTTACAAAGACTTGCAGTTACCTTTATACAATGCATGTGAAGTATTCTGAAACAATAAGGAATATATATAAAGGAAATATATATCCTTTGCAAATAGAAGTTACTGCATATAACCTTTCCTATTTTCCATCAACGAAAATGTCTGTGAGTTCTGTTTTTCCAATTTTATAGCACTTTTAGGCATGTTAGGTTATTTAGACTCACAGAAGGAATCTTCTCTCACAGGAGATCTGGTCTACAGGTTTCAGATTTATATCTCTGGGGAAAAGATACCTGACTGTGAGCTTAAATGTCCACAGGCCCAGGGACAGCATCTTTTTCTGCCGTAAATCCATGAGGTGCAATAACCACTACATTTGTAGTGTAGCCTTTCCGTAAGATTGATCAGAATTTATGATGACTCTGCTGTGCTCTCAAGGCATATATACAAGCAGGACTAACTGCATAAAAGTATTTCAGCTTTTTGAGTTGCTTTGTCTTCTCACTTGATGAAGTGCCTGCTCAGAGGCAAAAAGAAACTGGAAACTGTATGCAGTGGGAATAGGTAGTGACCAGAATCAGGAACTCGGTAGGTGTGTGCTGTGCTCGGCAAGGTCTGGCAAAATGGCTTTGCTGAAGATCGGTTCAGAGCCTGACTTCTTCAGCATATCCCAAGTCTGGCCTTAGTCACGAGCCAGCATGTCATTTGAAATTGTTTATAGCAGCTTTCCTTGCACTTTATGAGGTCACTTCACATACCTGTGCTACGTATTTCAGGTTCTGTGTGCTTAGCTCATAACATGTTACACCTGCATTTGAAGTCAGCTCTTTCTCCTCTACCTCTCCACTGTTTATCACACTTACGGATGTTCTAAAGTACTTACTCTTACGTTCTGTGAAATGATTTCCTGAGAGTATTGGTAATTTTCCCGATGTTGACTTTCACTTTCTGGGTTTTGGGTTTGTTTTGGTTGTTGAGGAACTCTGTCTACTCTGTCTACTAAGTTCCTTTTCTGTTTTGTAGGGCAAACAAATGCTCAAATTTCCAGAATAACGGAGGAGTTGTCAGAGAAGAGTGAGGAGTTGGTTCGCTACCAGGAAGAAATCTCATCCCTGTTGTCTCAGATTGTTGATCTTCAGCATAAACTCAAAGAAGTAAGAGAATGCCGATGAGTGGTGTATGCGCGCACGTGTGTGTGTGTGTGGTGCTTAGAGCAGGTAAAAATTGACCTTCAGGCTGGGGAGTTGTGCCACAAGAGAGTGGCTCTTTCAGGAAAATATGGCAGAGGATCAGCTTTCTCAGGGAAACCAGCTGAGGAAATTTCTGTCTTTTTTTGCTTTCAGCATGTGATTGAAAAAGAGGAGCTGAAACTTCACTTACAAGCTTCCAAAGATGCTCAGAGGCAACTGACAGCAGAGGTAATTAAGGCTTCTGTGTATATATGTATTTAGATAAACGTTTGGAATAGAATACACGAGGAAGAAAACAAAGAGAGAACAGGAGCTATTGCTTTTTAGTTATGTTCTGGTTAAGATGGTTACAATAACCATCTCAAATGCTTGAATAGAGAAAAAAATTAAAATATAGTTTGAGGAAAAAATGAAAATAAAAAGGCTGATTGTAGAAAATTAAAGAACGTGAGTGAATAGCAAAAAAAGGAGAAGAAAAAGGTAATTTTTTTTCATGTTTCTTTGTTGTTGGAGTCATATGGTTGGAGGAAAACAACATTTTTATTTAAGTTTACACAGATATTTTTGTAGTTCATGGGAGTGTAAAAGGCACGGGAGGCGTTCCAAGTAGGGATCTTCCCGTTCTGGGTAGCTGTGAGAAGAAGAATGCTAATATTACTGATTGTATCAACACAATACTGGAGCTCTCTGTTTTTACTTCTTTAGCGTCAGCAGTTACTGTATTTGCAGAGTTCTTTGGTGTATTTTCCTTTGGATTTCATCATACTTTTTGAGTCTTGATTTGGACTTCATGCTTCCCTACTAAAATCAGCATGGGTGCTGTGCTGCACATTGTCCATTCCAGATACAGTTGGGAAAAACACTGCAGTGTTAGATCGATCGATACAGGTTTCTGCGGGAGTTAATTCAGTTTCCTTCTGTCTTTTCTTTGAACCTTACTGGTAGCGTGTGATGGCCTCTGTTTCTCTTTCAGCTACATGAGTTGCAGGATCGGAATGCAGAGTGTCTGGGGATGCTGCACGAATCACAAGAAGAAGTGAAGTCGCTGCGCAGCAGAGCCAGCTCTGTCGCTTGTCTCTGCCACCTCCAGTCATGCAGAGCATTTCCTCTGGTAATAACTACTGCTAGCATGGCCTGACACCTGCTGGCACAGAGAGCCTCTAGTAGCATCAAAGTATTTGAGTAAAACAAGTACAGGAGCTGCAGCAGGAACTGTTTTGTAGGAGGCAAAGCAGCTGATCTGTTTTTTGTTTGGCTGGTTTTTTATTTAAATTATTTAATGTGTACAACACTGAGAATTTTGTGAATTAGAAGACTAACCATTTGCTTGACACATTGTGATACTAAAATTATTTTTCCTTTTTATATGGCTTTTCTTTTAAATAAGGGAATTGGTATGTTCTACAGGCAGTGCTGGGTTGTGCTCGTACATTGTTCGATGTTGATGGGAACTTTACATCTTGACAGTGTTTCTTTAAGAAACGAAGCATCTTTTCAAGAGTTCAGACAGTGTTTTTTCCTCTATGTAGTTTATGATGTAGTTTTACGTCCCTGTTTTGTGAGATTAAATTTTAAGTATCATAGAAATACATGACCTTAGACTAATCGCCAGAGATGACTAAATGAGTGGAAAAGGATTAAAGGCGTTTATTTTCCTCCTCTTGTTAGTGTCAGCTATGTTCTGGTTACCGTTCTAGGAAAAATTTCTGGGCTGTGTTGGAGATTTGTCAGATTTTGGTTGGTTGTTCTGTGTACAGAATCCCTCGCGCACGTGTCTGGCGTTGTAAGAAGTGCTCTTACAATTGTTGCTTTAAAAACTGACATAAAGAGTACTAAGAAAAAGCAGATGTTGCTAATCAAAACCGAACCCATACTAGTTATACATAAGCGTAGTTATGGTGGAAAATTCACCCTCATTCCCTTCTTTGGAGACCGAAGGGTTTGTCAGAAACATGCTGATACAGGGGAAGCAAATGGGGATTTCTCTTAAAGTCATTTTTTTAGAGATGTTTTGTATTAAAATTGTTAGGAGGAAGGTTTGAATCTAACCTGCCTATTCTTCTGGTTCCCCTTTTTCACTAGGATTCCCTTGCAGCAGAAATTGAAGGGACAATGTGGAAGGAATTGAGTCAGGGTGATGAATCTGTTCTTTCCAAGCGGAAGTATGTTTTTGGATCTCTATGTGCTAATTTTGCTTTTTTTTTTCCATATGTACCTACTAAGTAAGGTAGAAACTGATTACTGAAAAATCTAAATGCAAGTGTTCCCCCTGTACTAAGTTTCTTACATAATTAAAAAAAAGCTTTGTAGTATTTGGTAGTCTTTTCAACTTTGAAACCTAATATCCTTATTTGGTTCTATAAGGAAGTTGGGAATTTGCTAAAAGGATGTTATTTCATCCTTTAATCTGTAGGATTTTTGATGCAAATTCTCTGATGTACAGCATTTGTTTTATCCCTTCTGATGCTTGCAGAAAAAATCTCAGGCAAATGAAATTATAGTTGGAAGACTGACAACAAATTCCAAAGTGCTGAAGACCTGTTCCTGGACCTCTTACTCTGAGCAAGAAGTAATAAATTAAATATACTTTGTAAGGCATATATAAATTAAATACATACAAGTTATGCTCCTGAGTGTTCTCAAGTGGTTGTCAATAGAGGTTCAGGTCTTTCAGATCAAAGTGATAATTCTGATTTTAATAGAATAGTACTCCTGATAACATGAGTGTCTTGAGCAATCCTTTCTTTCTGGGCTTAAATCTTTTTAATCTGCAGACTTTTGAAAGTCTGCTGTTCAGAGCCTTTGTTATATATTACATGTTCTTCAAAATGCTTTTGAAAACCACATTTGTTTGCTTGGCTTTTCTGCAGGGGTCAACAGAAACGAGTGTTTGACACCGTCAGAGTTGCTAACATCGCTCGTGGCCACGACTCCTCCTTTCCTGCCCCGCTGCCAATCCCCGGATCTAATCAGTCCAGTGTTGTTATGACAGCAAAGCCCTTCCAGTCTGGCGTGCCCCAGCTGGAGAGCCACACACGGATGACCCAGAGGAGCAAATCTGAGAAGAGTTTGAAGTAGGAAACACACCCTTTTTTCTTCTTCTATACTAACTGACTCAAAAAATAACTCCAGATTGGACCTCTGCTGTGTAAGAGAGAAATAGTTAATGTAATGATCTAAGTGTATATTATTATTTGATGTATCTCACAGAGACAATCAGAACCCTGGCCCGCCAGGAACCCCTGAAGACAGTGACTTAGTCACAGCTCTGCACAGACTCTCCCTCCGTCGTCAGAACTACCTGAATGAGAAGCAGTTCTTTGAGGAGGAATGGGAGCGAAAAATGCATTTGCTGGCTGAGCAGGAAGAAGAGGCTAGTGGCTGTAGCACACCGGCAGAGAGCTGTTTTTCCCTGGGTACAAACTCAGAATTTCCCGATCTCTCTGCCAGCTCAAGTAATCTCCGTGTCCTCCTACCAGAAAAACTGCAAATTGTCAAACCCATTGAAGGTAAGAGGGTGACCTTCCTTCTCTTGTTAGCAGAAAAAGGATTTTACAGTAACTTGCCAGCTGAATCGTTGTTGGTGTGTGCTGTAAGAGGGAGTAGTCCTGTTTGACAGGCTCTGTGCCAACGAGCTCATGGGTATCGCTTGCTCCTTGTCTTTCCCACACGGCGCGAAGCGCTGGGCTTTGCCTTGGCATTGCCACGCGAGCGTGACCTGTCCGTTCCAGGGCTGCTACTGCTTGTCTGGAGTTATTTCGTTAGTGAGCCCCTGCTGTCTGTTGGAGCGGGGGAGGCCACAGAAATGGTCAGAGGGCTGGAACACCTCTCCTGTGAGGACAGGCTGAGGGTGCTGGGCTTGTTCAGCCTGGAGAAGAGAAGGCTCCAGGAAGACCTTCTTCAGTACTTTAAGGGCGACTATAAGAAAAATGGGGACAATCTTTTTAGCAGGATGTGTTGCGATATAGGACAACGTGACATGTGGAAAACAGACTCCACAATCGATTTAGATTGTGAAGTAGGTATGTTCGTTCAGCACTGAGCAGCACGGGGGGGAGGTCTCACCAAAGTCGTGCGCGCCGCGTGGCGTTTGCGTTGGAGATATATACGGTTCAGTGTTGTATATACGTGAGGTTTCAAAAGATGCCTATGCATATGCATGACCTGTCCCTAATTCATATTAAATGACACAGTAGAACTCATTTTACATAAATTCCTCCCAACTGCGCTTGCGCAGTGCCTTATGGTGGTGGTCGTTGAGGGTCATGGGGATGAAGGCTGTGAGTTCCTCTTCATCACCACTGGTTAACCCCTGTCCTTGCGCAGACTCGGTTGCTTCTTAGCTCGTATCCAAACTGCAGGGTTGATTTCAACTGGTTCTTATCAGGAGCTGCCTTTAAGATTAACCGCAGCTCTTCTTCTACAATGCCTGACTATCGTTAGGCGTTAGCGATCAATCTACAAGGTTAAACAACAGCCTTGCCCTGGCCTAGGTTCATTAATCTGTTAGTTCTCCTATAATCCCCTTTTCACAATGAGTAATGATTTTAAACTAAAAAAGGTAGTTTTAGATTAGATAGAAGGAAGGAATCTTTATGGTGAGGTTGGTGAAACACTGGAACAGGCTGCCCAGAGGGAGTGGTAGAAGCCCCATCCCTGGAGACATCCCAGGTCAGGCTGGGTGGGGCTCTGAGCAACCTGATCCAGTTAAGGATGTCCCTGCTCACGGCAGGGGGTTGGACTAGATCACCTGTACAGGTCCCTTCCAATGCAAACCACTCTATGATTCTCTAATCCTGTGAATACAAGAGTTGGGAATGGCTCTCTGAGATGCTTTTTTTTGGTCACGTCAGGATCTCAGACCCTTTTTCACTGGCAGCAGCTTGCTCGACCAAACCTAGGCACCATTCTTGACCCAAGACCGGGTGTTGTGACAAAAGGTTTTACTCCTCTGTCTGGTGATACTGTCTACCACATCTCCGGCTTGGAGGAGGATGATGAGGAAGAAGCTGAAGGAGGTGTGACATTTCAAGTGCAGCAGTCTTCCCTGGAGGAGAAGAAGCGTACAGCGGCAAAGCCAGCGGCAGGGATTTTCCTGCCACCTGTTACTTCAGCAGCGGTACCACTCACCGGTAAGAAGCACGGTCAGTGTGTTTTTTCTCTTTTTGTTTTCCACTGTCTGTTTCTCAGTGGAAAGTATTTGACCTTGCGACAACGCTGTCTTTGCTGTCTCTGTTCTTTATAGAATAACAGAAAGAAATATTTTTAAAAAATCACTTATGTATTATTTAATAAAGAATATAGTAGTATTTGTTACATGTTTACAGAAATGGTTATAAAATCAACGAATATAAAAAAACAAAATTGAAAAAAATTAATAAATAAAAACTAGCAGTGATAACTTAAACTTTTTTTTGATTGGTTCTTACCTGTCTTCATTTTTGCTCTCAATGGATATAAATTCTCTGTGTTGCAGCCTTGAATCCAGGGAAGTGTCTGTCTTCCACAAATTCCACATTTACATTTACTACCTGTAGGATCCTTCACCCATCTGATGTCACTCAAGTTACTCCCAGGTACGACGCCTGCCGACATCCCAACTGTTGCTGCATAAAATTAAACATTTGCTTTCTGACTTCTGATATATGAACCAGTTTTAAAAACAAGTAATTCAGCCAGGGAACACCGAGATTGTTATTCATACAGGTAGTTGTAGTTGCAAAAGGGAAACTTGAAATTCTGAAGAATAGGAGTTGAAACACATTAGACTAACTTGAAGTAAATTTATAAATACCAAATGCCTTGTATCATATACCTATTGTAAAAAATAAAAGATTCTATGACAGAATTGGAAAAAGAATTATCATAATTTTTTTAAACTAAGTACCAGACATCTGTATTGATATTCTGATACAGTATAGGTGGCCACAGAAGGTAAATTCATTAATACTTACGCAAAAATCTCTCTGCCAACCTAGTAACTTGTAAATATTTTGCAGAAAAATAATTCTGAATCTATTAAAGCTAAAACTGTTACAGCTAATAACAAGTGTCCTTTTTTCCCACACCTTCTGGGTACTAAAAGGCAAATAGAGAGCAGAGCGGGTATAAAGGTGTCTAATGTGTGTTCCATTTTTATTTCAGCTCCGTGGGTGCCCCGTTTTCACTTAAGAATGCTGGCAGCAGTCTTGGAAATGCCGCAGTGAGCACTCCGGCCGTTTCTTACAGGCTTAGCGTTGGAGAATTTCTAACCAACAGAAGAGATGCAACAACTACTTTGAGCAGCACAAGCGGTCTGCCGAAACTTCTGCAAGAACAAGGCATCTCTGCCAAGGTTTATGATAGCCCTGGATTGGAAAAACTGCCTTTGCTACAGCCCCCTCGAACTCTCCCCGTTCCTTCTACTCCACCAAATTCTCCCTCACATTCACCTTGTCCTTCCCCTCCGCTGTTTGAACCTCGAGCGCATCACTCAGAAACTTTCCTGGCTTCTCGACCAGCAGAAACGTTCTTGCAAGAAATGTACGGCCTGAAGCCCTCGCGCAAAGCTCCGGACGTCGGCCAGCTGAAGATGAACCTGGTGGAGAGACTGAAGAGGCTGGGTATTGCCAGGGTGGTCAAGTTCCCTGATGCACAGGACCACGGGAAGAATCAGGGGCCAGAGGTTAGCTTGCAGAGGCAGGACTCAGCCGTGTTTTTAAATGCAGGTAGCAACTTAATGGCGGGGCTGAGGAGAAACCAGAGTCTTCCAGCCATGATTGGAGCATTGGGAGCTCCAGTTTGCACACAGTCCTCAAAAATGGGTACCTTAAAGGAGAACTGACTGGGCTGAAAAACGATCGACTTCTAGCATAGTAGATAATCCATGAGGGATAAATATCCAGCACAGGCATCGTGTGATGTGCTACGGGAAAGTTGGAGAAGGCACGTGCATGTTGAACATGTGGGAGAGAGAAGAGTTGGGATCAAGGAGGAAAAGAACATGGCTTGGGTCTGAGAAAGAAGGCTTTTGTAGAAGATCAGAAAGAAGAAACCAAAGCTTAGTTTTGAGGTCCCCTTCAGGATCTGTCTTAAGCAAAAATAAAAGACCATTGTAGGCATTCTCAGTACTTTTAACGTTTTAAACTGTAAGTGTAGAACTGTCTCGCAGGTGCTGTTCCATTATTTTCCACCGTATACCATAGCATTTGAGTAGTTGTTAGCAGTCAGGCTGTATCATTTAAATATAATAGTGAAATAACAGTCAGACTGACCAGCATTATTGGTCCAAGTTCCTCTCTGTAGCAAACAAATATGAAAACTTGGATGATTGTTTTTTTTATTCTTGTCCTTTCCATCTGAGGATCTACTCTTTCGAACTCCTTCCCACTTGGAGAATTAGAGGAGAGAACCTTTAGCTGTATGTAAGAAAACAGTGCATCTATTCGCTAGCACAGAAACTGATGGTCAGTATTTACACATTGAAAGAGTGCAATAGTAAGGTATTAACAGAAGTTAATTTCTTTCCAGAGCTTCTGAAAAGCACACCGAGGAATTTGCAATGAAATAGAATTAAGAAGCAGGAAAGCCTGTATTAAAGTGAAAACTTCAAGCTAAGAAATTTTTCCAAAGTGTGCTGTGCATCTTTTTAAATGAAGGTATTTTTGCACATACAGAAAAAACACCTAAAATCTCAGGCCCGTTTCAGTATTGCAAAAGGAAATAAAACGTAGATGATTGATTCAGGGTTTCTGACATAAGCAGAGAGCATTTACTTCAAGACCAGTGTCGGAAATTCGGTGACCCGACTCTTGACAGGTAGACGTTATGTGTATCTGAGAGTTCTGCAGTAAACTTCACACCTTTCACTCAATAAATTTTTTATTTTAGGTGGGATTTTATTTAAAAGATTTCATTAAGATCTATATTTAGAAGCACAAAGATGAAAGCTAGTGTTCTTTCTAGCATTTTAATGAACATAAATTTTTTTACATGCAAATCCTGTGTTGATAATGGAGAGTGGTTCTGAACCTGATTCTGAGCAAACCTAAGGCAGACTTTCCATCTCAAAAGACAAGTCCACTTTAGCAATCTGATTTCTGAGCGGTGATTAGCAAAACATTACTGCCCATGCCCATCCTAGCCAAGGTTCTAGTCGAACTGAATAATCTACAATAGATTTATAACTTACAGAAGAAAAAGTTTTGCCCAGAATTCCTTGGAGGAATGACTCTTCATTAGTGACCTGAATGGAATCAGGTTCCTTAACTTTTATGTAATTTTTCGGTGTACCTATCGACATTTTAAAATTATTTTGAAGTTTAGTTTTTCCATAGAGTTGAACAGTCCGTTTTCCTCCCTTGTAAACAGTGTATGGGGGACGTAGCTGGTGCCTGTCGTGGTGCGTGGGGTGAAGCATCAGTAGAATTACACAGATTTGCATCTGCTACAAAGCAGCACATCCACCATAACCAACTCTGCAGGGTTGGGTGGAGTAAAAGAAATCTTCTTAAACTGTTTTCTAAGAAATTTGTTATGTGGCCTTTCTGCTTTTACAGTTCTATTGACCTTTTGATGACTCTTTGATATAATAGTGGGGTTTTTTTAAAAAAGGAAAAGGAGTAACCACTTCAAACTTCAGCAGGGATTCTTAGCAGAAACTTGTCTGTCAGCAGCGCACAGAAGTATTCAGGAACTCCTGGAGTTGCCTTTTGCTGTCTTAAGCAAAATCTTACACTTAAAAAAGGTGAAATTTATTTTAAAATACTATATACGGGTTGTGGGGTTTTTTTAAATGAAAAGTATTTAATTTCTTCTTGTATTTATGTGTTTACATACTTAGCTGTGCATGAGGTCTTGTCTAGCTAAATAAGGTGAGAGTGAAAGGAGTGAGGGGAGGTAATTTTGCTCTCCAGTGAACCAGGACAGGTGTGCCTGCTTTGTATTTGTATGAAAGAACAAGAAGGAATTAACAAAAGGTTATTTGATACCAGCAGAAAAGTGTATAATGTGTCAAGAGTATGTCCATGTGAGTTACAGAGAAGTTTTTGAACGTTGTGATCCTGACGAACTTCACTGGGTAACTCCAGCCTTTGGATCATTCTGTTTGTTATCAGAAGGAGCAAAGCAGTGAACTCAGAATTCCTTTGGCAGACCCGGTTTCACTTAAAATTAATCCAGAGACACGTTAATTAAATGCACATTTCTCTTTGGGATGTTTCTGTGTTCCATAGCTCAACAAGAGGAGGTGGTTTGGTTCAACAAGAGGAGGTGGTTTGGTTGAAACAATCCTATGGATATGTCAAGAGGTTGGTTGGTTTTCTGTAGGATGCTCTATCATCAGATACTTTACGCAAGGCCAAAAGAAAATGGAAGAACCTGCGTGCCATTGTGTTTGTATGTTTAGCTGGTTTGATCCGTGATGCAGTGTCACTGAAATTCTCTTATGCCTTTGTACATTTGCATGGTCATGTACGTTCAGTGTATTGGTGCCTGGCTTGCAGCAACAGAGGAAATCAGTACTTCCAAAACTTTACTGTTTTGTGCCAAAACCTAGAAGATAAAATTTTGAGTACTGTAAGTGTTAAGGAGAACGTATTAAAAGTTGCCGCTATGCCAGGAACTGATTTGTCTCCTCTCTTAGGGAAGGCAAGAGAAGCCAAACTTGCATGACCAAGGTAACTGAGATCCTACACAAGATCTTTTGAGCCTGCACAAGTGTAGTTTGGTTGAGCAGGAGGTCAAACTAGAAGGAATGGAGAATTGCGTTTGGGAAAGGTTCTGTTATCTTGCAGGTTTGAGAGAAAAACAGACAGTAGAAAGGAAGGACTTGACCACGCTTGCGAAAGTTCGAAGAGATGGACATTTTTTTAGTATTTACTTTATTTAGATTGGATTAAACTAAGCACAGATTTAAGAGCTTTCTGAGTTTTACTGGTTTTGATAAACTCAGTGATACCTGCATGTTCAAAATACCTGTGGTCAAAGTTAAAGTCTACTGCAGTCAAACAGCAGAGGGAAGGAGAGTGGTGAGTTTGGGTCTCATGTGGCTGTTACACAAGGGGATTACACTCAATGTTTGAACAGTCTGGGAACTTCATGGTATTTTTTTCATTTGCTTTTTGCACTTCCCGTTGGTTCATAGTGGAGTGTAAATTTGATAATAAACATATAACACCATTTTTTCAGTATGTTGGTCCTGTTGTGCTTTGAGTTTCAGATATCTATTATACTACAATGTTCTATAATAAACCTCAAATCAGGCCCTTTTTGGCTACGATTTAGTGACTGTTACACTGTACACAAGCTTAGTGAGTTGGTATCTGCACAAGTGGTGGGTAGAAGTGGAGCAACTGTTTTAAATTACTTGATGGGGCTGTGCTGGGCTGTTTGCCGCTGTTCATACCTGAGCAGTTCCAGGTGGCAGATCTGCAGCCCGAGCTGCGGTCTGGCCTTTGCACAGTCAGTGTGCGATGCTCAGGTCTAGAGCAGGACTTTCACAGAGTGCCTTCTGCTGCTGGTTGAAAAACCTTTTCCTTAAGAAGGAAACACTTCAAATGAAGAGGCCCCTAGACAGAGTATTTGAGTGTGAGCCTCACTTTAAATGAATGTGTTCGTGTTTTCTGGTACTTCGGGATTTGGGGTTTTGTGTGTGTGTGGCTGTGTGTTGTTTTGTTTGGTTTTTTCCCTCGGTTGTTTTAGAGCAGCTAATACGTTCTTCTAACATTATAATGTTAGACCACACTTGTCTAACACCACCATTGCTGTTTTTTCCATCTCAGTAGCTGATGGCAGCCCTCTAGATTTGTGATAACATGGGAGTAGATACCGAAACCAAGCTACCTACCTGTGGGATATTTAGAGGACAGCAGACATGTTTTGCACAAGCCAGACAACCTGTTTTTAGACAAGTTTTAGGCCTCACT